GTTATTAAAGCAGGTTGCTGGGTTCTACACTAGGTCTTTCGGGCTGAACTGGCCTTGCCCCACCCTGCACAGGCCACCTCCATGGGCTGACAATGTCTCAGAACAAGCTTGTCAGAGCTTATCACCAAGAGGGAGCCTGTGTAGCAAACAGCAGGATAGCAGAATGTTCTGAGGGACAATCTGCGTGTGGCTCAGTCCTGTGCTCCTTTCTCCTCTGGCTGGCCACCCCTTTCCCAGCTCCCTGAACATCGCACATTGGCCTGCAGGGCCTGTGCCACTCGGAGAGCCCAGTGGGCAGCTGGGCTCAGTGCTCTCAGGTCTCTCCATAAAGTTTCCAGGCTATTTGCCCCACAGATGGCTAGGTGACCTCTGGATGGCCCCTTCTCTTCTCAGGACTTCTGTCTGGTTCCTTAAATGTAAGCTGAGAGCGTTAGGGTTCATTCTTTTGTGACAGAATGGCTCCCTGTCTCCAGAAAGTAGAAACCAGATAAGACTGCCTGGTTTTAAGAATCCTTAATCTCTTTTGTCCCTATAGCAGAACTGGGGCATGAGGGTTACTCCCAACCACTCCATGCTTCTGGTCCCCACCACGCAGGAGAGGTGTGCCTTCTGGTCTCATCCTTTCCTATAGGTCCCACAGATCTACTCTAAGAAGCAGGGCCAGCCCTATGGAGGCAGCTGGACCAACAAGGCATGGTCATCACCAGCTTAGCTCCACAGAGTGGGGGTACCGCTGGGCTCCTGAGCCTGACCAAGCAGCTTCCTGGCCTGGACACCCTCTGTGGCCCAGTGGTTCTGGCGCTCCAAGCCTCCACTAAGGGAAGAGCTTATTCATGAGCAGACTGTCTTGGGTCTGACCCAGTTTCCTGGCCCATCCTCTCCTGCCTCACTGACTGCAAGAAGCCCTGGTCTGCCCCTGATTTCCACCTACCACCAGAGGGCTTGTAGAAACCTGGAGCTCCAGCCTCCCTTCGTGGGAGAGCCAGGAAAGTGCCAGAAGGCACCTAACCTGGGGTAAATATCTTGAGCTTCATGCACACCCAAACTGGGCATGTGGGGGCAGTGAACTCTTTAGTTATGCAAAGGGAAGCAGGCTCAGGACACCCTCTGCAGTAGAGAGTGAGGCCATCCCAGAAAAGACCCCAGTTTCCCTCCATTCCATAGTTCCCTGGGGCATGCACTGCACTGGTGAAGATTTTTCCCACAGCCCCCTGAGAACAGGACACGATACCTCCTTTAACCCGTAGTATTTTGGCTGGGCAGTCTTAGGGGGCAAGGATGACCAAAAATTTGTGTGTAAATGTGAGGGGGGTTTCATATGGTCAGTAATGAGTGTCAGGATGTTTACATGCACACAAGCAAATACACACTCCTCATTCAATACCATGTGTAGGAACTCATTAATCAGGACAAGCAGAAATTGGCAGGGTTTTTGCATCAAACTCTCAGCTGTATTTCTAGTATACCTTGACAAACATAAATACATACATCCCCATGGTCCAGCCATCTAGACCAGACTATATATGCTAAGGCATGATTGCTATATATGAGGAACTCTCTCAAATACTTCTGCCCTCACTTAGGGAATTCCTTAAATCATCTTCTCTAATAGAAACTCGAAAGTGCAAGGAAGGAGAGGAGAGAAAGGAAATGAGAGATGAAGAAAGGCAGCCACTGCCTCAAACTCTTAGCACTGGGGAAATGACCAAACTACAGAGTTATGGAGAAACCCCTAGGGCTGGAATTAGAGACAGATGTCTTCCTGTGGGCATCCATTGGGAAGTGGGGTATAATCTGTCTCCCTTCTCTGTGTGGGATCTCTCCTCCAATCCCTGTGATTGGAAAGCAGGAATCCCTCACTGATTCTTTCATTTTATCCTCCATACTTTGTGAGACTGCCAGTGAACTTTGGGTGCCTCTTGCCTTTCAGCTCTTGGGGACAGAGAGAGGCTGTCCTCCAGTGCTGGCCTAGGCCAATTTCCCCTACCTCCCTGAAGTCTCTGCCCTGGAGACTTTCCTCTTTTGCCTTCTCTGCTGGGGATAGCAGTTAAGGGGTGCCTAGGACCAACCCTGGAACAGACAGCCTCCATCAGCTCAAGTAAAGGCTCTATATGCATTTTTTGTTATCATTCAGCAAGCCAGGACTATATACCAAGAACGTAAGTGCACACATTACCAGTGACTTATGAATGCAACACACACTGTGGTCCCAGTAAGCACTCCTTGAGCATTAGGCATATGGTTATTATGATGCCCAAGATATGTGCCCTCTCCAGAGGCGAATGATAGATATACACACCCCCCATCCTGTCACCAGGATACGACTTACACTATCCACACATATTTGCAGCAGGCATCGACTACACAACTGCCCACAGCATACATGTTCACACCACAGAAAGCACAGATAGACACAGGCACAGAAGCCCAGTTTCCTTTCTGCAACTTGTCTTAGCCAGACAATAGTGCAGTGGCTCACTAGAAGCACCCAGATACTAGGCCTGACCCGTCTCTCGGGCTTACCACCCCAGCTGAACCTTCCTCTCCAGCCTGCTCCTTCCTGCTACCCTGGCATTGGCAGGCTCCAGTGGAGGTCTCAGGATGATGCTCCTTAGAACAGCAGTGGCTTCATCCTCCACCTTTCAGTATCCCCAGGGATGCCCAAGGGAGAAAGCTGTCCTGGGTCACAGCCACTTCCCCTTAGGCCCAACTACACATAATAGGGATCCCACCTTCATGATCCCACAGCAGGACCGCTAGTATAGGCTGAAGTGGGAAGCCTGCAGCCTTTGTCCCTGTTACTAGCTGCCTCTGATCTGCTTGTCAGCCTGGACCTGTGGACCTTGCTGTCCAGGCCCAGAGTGGGGGCAGTGAGGGACACATGGCTGGAGTTCGGTCCAGCCCAAGCTGCACCACGGTGGAGGGGAGAGCTGGCTGGTACCTCTCATCTCATTAGCAGACTCAAGGCTGAGCACTCCTAATACTCCTTGAGCTCCCGGGCTGTAACATGGTCAATTGCCCATGTGCCTGTGAGGAAGCACCGGTCTGAATTCGTTGTTGGAGGAGTCCCAGTAGAGGAAAAGGAAAAAAAAAAAAGATTTCTAGAGCCACGCAGTATGTTCATTCCTCTCTGATACTCCTAAATCTCTTACATATATCTCGAGGAAAATGAATTCTGATTATTAAAAATAATAAGGCAATCAATGTAAGTCGCTCCTTCCATTTGTACAGACGTTTGCAGCCTATAGAACATTTCCCCAAACAGGATTTTTATCTGTTTGGAATAAACTTTTCTGGTTATTATATTTGTCTGGAAAAACGAACGTATTCGTTCAATATAATGAACACACAGTCCATACACCTAGTGCGACAGCGTAAGAGGTAAAATACAAACTCGAATAGGTGCAGAAATCGAACAAATCCTACCTACACCCACGTCTTGTGAACAAACCACCACTGATAAAATCTCTTTGATGACGTTATACAGTCACTACAGACCAGTGATGACACAGAAAACAAATAATCCCCCCAGAAAACAGAGAGGCAGCAACAACCACAAACGTCCTCCACTCGGGCTGCCCTCAACCCTTATTTATCTGAAAAAGGATAAAACTTGGCTGGAAATCTCCCTCTTTTAACCTGCAGCTCAACAAACGTAGGCAAGGCAGAAATAATATAAGTCCGCTTTAAAAGAAAGAACAAAAAAATTTATTTGGGAATTGACAAGACGATAACAACAAACAAACAAACAAAACAACAAAAGTGCTCTAGTTCTTTCTAGAAAATTTGGTCCTCCAAACGACACACTACAGAACAACCAGGTCTAGGGATTTTCGGGCCAGCCGGCTCCGGGCCACAAGCCCGCCTGGTCCGACTGCTGCCAGGTTTCACATTTCTCCTGCCCAAGGTGGGAGAAGCAAGACGTTTGTAAAACAAAAATCAGTGAGAGGACGAGCCGTCCCTGCAGCGTCCGCCAGGAGATCCGGGGAAATTTGTTTTTGATTTGTTTTTAGAATGATAGAGGGGGGAACCCCCCAATTCGTAAAGGAAACCAACTTTTACTGAACATATTCTACCTCTCTGAACATAGGTTTTTGAAGGCCCGACAGGAATTCTACTTCAAATCTCTTGGAAGAGATTTTCATGTTTTGCTTAGCAAACTCCAAGGCCACAATACTTCGCCGGTTTTCCCGGTTAGGTTTTTTCCCTCTTAAAAAAATATTTTAAAATGTTATCTAAAACAGCCCTCCCGATCTTTTGGGCGAAACATTAGCCAGCCGCCACGGGCCTAGAGTTGCCCGAAGCGAAGCGCCGAGACGGAGAGCGGAGGACACGAAGGCTGTCTCGGAGCGGGTATGTGTTGTAAACCCCAGCGCAGGCCGCCTAGCGAGGCAGCTCCGCTTCCCGCTCGGGCCCAACTCCCGCCCCATCCAGTGGGCCCGGGCAAGCGGCTTCTGAACCGCTCCAAGAGGCGACGTGGAGCAAACACACGTTCGTCTCTTTCTCGGGCGACGCGGGTATCATTGCCCGCCCGGACCGGCGCTTCCAGCCAAGGACTGCGCGGCAGCCCGGTGGGGAAAGCCGAGCGCGAGCGCACCGACCTGTGTGAGAAGGCCAAGAGGTCTGCACCGCCGACGCCCGGCTGCACCTCGGCCCCGGCACTTCCTCTCCGCTCTGAATTTTGGCAAAGGGTGTCCAGCCTGGACGCCGGGGCACCGCGAGGAGACGAGGCCTGCAGAAGGCGCGCGGAGAGGCGGCCTGTAGGCCGGGGGAGCGAGAGGGCAGAGAGGGCATGGAGGCGAGCAACAGGAGGGGAAGCGGAGGAGACAAAAGAGGGGCAAGAGGAGCTGAGGGGAGCGAGGAGGCTCAGAGGGCCTTGGACGCTGGCTCAGAAGATGGCCCCAGAGGGCGCGTGGTCCGGCCGGCGGCGGTGGCTGCGGCTTCGGCTAAGGCCGGCGTCGCACGTCCCTGCATCCTCAAAGCCGGCGTGCGCTGGGCTCTCAGAGATCGAGGCGTGAGTGCAGCGCGCCGGTCTTGCTGTCGTGGTCCCAGTAAGAGCAATGCATCATGGCGAGCTCGGGCTGCCGGGCGCAGGCGAACTGCAGGCCCGGCGCATTGGTGGGCGCGGGCGCCGGGGGCGCGGCGGTAGCAGGGCTGGCGGGGCTGAGCTGGCCTGGGGGCGGTGCGGCGGCCCCGTGGTGCGGCGGGGCGGGCGGGGGTGCGGCGGCCGCGTGCAGATGGTGTGCATGCGGGTGTGAGTGGGGATGCGGCGGCGGCGGGGGCGCGGCCGGCGGGCCTCCAAGGCCGTTGTACGAGTTCACCACACCGGGAGGCAGCGCCATGCTCTGCACGCGTGAGTACGGCCCATATGAGGCGGCCGGGCCAGCCAGCCCCTTGACCACCGCGGCCGCTCCCGGGCTGCCCGGGCCCGCGGCGGCAGCGGCGGCGGCCGCCGCCGCAGCGGCCGCCGCCATCTGGCAGGAGGCGTAGGGCATGGGTGAAGGCGGCTGCGGTAGCGGCCAGGAGTTGTTGAGGAAGCCGGACTGTAGGTACTTGGGAGGCGCCAGGTAGCCATAGCCGTCGGCCCCGGCGCCCGCTACGCCGCAGCCGCCCGCGGCGCCCCCGGCCCCAAAGAGCCCCTTGCCGGGCTGGAAGTGCGCGGGCGGCGGCCGGAATGGCCGCTTCATGCGGCGGCGGCGCCGGTAGTTGCCCTTCTCGAACATGTCCTCGCAGGCCGGGTCCAGCGTCCAGTAGTTGCCCTTGCGCTCGCCGCCGCCCTCGCGCGGCACCTTGATGAAGCACTCGTTGAGGCTGAGATTGTGGCGGATGCTATTCTGCCAGCCCTTCTTGTTCTTCTCGTAGAACGGGAACTTGGCGATAATGTACTGGTAGATACCGGACAGGGTGAGCCTCTTCTCTGCGCTCTCGCGGATCGCCATGGCGATGAGCGCCACGTACGAGTACGGGGGCTTCTGAGCCGGGTCCGGCTTCTCGGGGGCTGTCCCAGAGCCGCCGCCTCCTCCCTTGCCGGGGCTCGGCGGTGGCGGCGCCTCTGGCTCCTTGGCTGCGCGGCCGGTCTCCGGGGCCAGCAGGGCCCCCGCGGCGTCCTCGGGCTCGGGGTAGCTAGCCATCATGACAAAGCCGGCGCGCCGCGGCCGGGCAGCCCCTGCTCTTTTTCCTTGGTGCTGGCGCGGCGGAGTCCGGGCGCACCAAGTCCGCACACGGCCGAGTCTCAAACTTTTGGAGACTGCGGATGCCGCCCGTGCTCGCTCGCTGGCGGCCTCTCCCTCCGCTCCTCTCCTCTTTCCCTTCCCCTAGGGAGCGGCCGGCGGGAGTGGAGCTCAGCCTCTGGCCATGGGGAGTCCGCCCAACAGAGAGGGGCTTCGGCCCCGCCGCCCCTCCCCGCCCAGGCCAGTCCCCGCCTCGGTGGGTTTTCTTTTCGGCGCTCTTCCCCTCCCCCCACCCTCCGGTTTCCCGAGGCAAGACCCGCGTCTCTGGCGGAGCTGCCTCCTGAAGTCCCTAGTGCGCCAGGAGCCTCGCTCAGTTCTGATTCGTATGGGCTCCGCCGAGTTCCGCTTGCGTCAGGCGCCTTCGCCCCTATAGCGGGGCGGCCAGTCGCGCACGGGCGAGTTCATCTCCAAGTCACTTTTTGTAAACGCCCCGCACAGCCCGGACCGGCCTGCCCCCTCTCAGCGAGCTGAGGGGGCCCGGCGGACGACCCGGCTCACGCTCTCTCAAGCCCTTGCAATCCGCGGGTGCTCGCTCTGCGGACTGGGCCGGGAGATGCCGAGGGCCCAGGCGGGGTCCGTCCACACTCTGCCAGTGCCCAAGGAGCTCGGGCCCTAGCGCGCCAAGCCTCCTCGCGGCTTTCAGGTGAAAGAAAACGACTCCCCTGCTCTGCCCTTTGCTAAGGTCTTCGGGCAAAACTTCTGCCTTGGGGCTGGGGGAGGGGCGGGGTGGTGAGGGGGCCGGACGGCGCTGGGGTGGAGAGAGCTGCGCGGTGGCTTTGGGAAAATCAGCCCAGAAACGCGTGTCAGTGAACCGAGAAACCTCGGCCTGGCCTGGCCTGTCCGTCGCGCTTCCAGAGTGACTCGGCCGGATGGGGCTGGGGAGACGATCCGGGAAGAGGCGTCCAGGAGCTCCGTCTGAAGCGCCGCCCTTCCTTGCGCTGCCCCTGGACCAGACCCCTCCTCAGAATCCGCGCTGTAATCCTACGAGTTGGATTTGTGGTTTAACAACACCAAGTAGACCCCACTCTAGTCCTGCTCCTTCACGGTCGTTGCTGTGGGGCTTTGGGGGATTTTATTTGTATGTGCACCGGTATCACATATAGAAGTCATGGGGAGGGTCTGTTCTTGAGACACGTGACATACCAGCTGCCCAGGTGCTCATGTGCTGGGACAAAAACAGAGGTATGCACACTTACAAGGTGAGATTTGTATTTATGGGGTAATCATTTATAATTACAGATATGTAATGGTACATGTGTGTCACCTATCAGTAAATGTGGTTCTGGGATGTTGCATCTTCTTTCTTTTTCTCCTCTCTTTTCCCTCTCCTCCCCTCTCTCCTTTCTTCCCCTTCCCCCTTTCTTTGTCAATATTCTGTCACAGACTGGGAGGAAGAGTAAGAGGCTGTGAGGGAGGCATTTGTTCGAATCTCTCTCCTGACAAGACATTTGTTCTGATCTTTCTCCAGGGCCAAGGGGTGAATGCTCCTACCTTCAGGGGAAATTAATGCTGGCAGGAAAGGCAGCTCTGCTTTTTAACAGTTAACTTAGCCTTAACAAAAGATCTGCAATCATTAAGTGTGAGAGAGATGTCCGACTTGTGTTTTGAATCTTCATACCCCAAACTGCTTGGTACTGAGGGGGCCAGGATACTTTGAGGAGGAAGGTGGACTGAATGGGTGTCATGCAGGGGTGTCCTATGTCTGGATGAGCATGGTTGGAGTGGCTGCCCCAATGCTGGTTACTACCACTTCCCCCTAGCCCAGTCTCTGAGGAAGTCTGAAGAGTGCTTTGTGGCCTAAGGGCTCTTACGGGCCCAGCACCTAAGGCGCAGCACCCACAGCCCACCTGCCGGTGTTGCCTGCTTCCCACTCTGCTTTCTGATCTACATTCTGAGATTAAAGGAAAGGAGGACTAGGTGAGGGGTTCTTTGGAATTCAGTATCTTGAAAATGACTCCAGAGAGGTCAGCAGGGCAGTCTGGTCGGACCATTACAGTAAGAGGGAACAGGGCTCTCCTAAACTCACCTCAGTAAATATCCTCCTCTATCTACCCACCATTGAAAATATCTCCAGGTAGCTTGATTGTTTTCTTCCATTGCTCCCAGTATACACCGGGGTAAGCAACACCTCTTAAAAAACCTCTGTGGCTGTCTCCTGAGCAGGAGTGCAGGTGTTTTTCTTCTTTCTCACCAGTCGACCCCCCATCCATGCCTAGGCTAGGGGTGGGAGTGGTGTGAGGTTTGGGTCTGCTGCACATTGACCCTAGTGCCCATCCTCCCCCTCGGCCTGGACAGGGGGAAAAAACAGCTGGTTCTGGCCCCAGCCTGGGTGTGTGTGTGTGTGTGTGTGTGTGTGTGTGTGTACACACGCGCGCTAGCGCTCTCCTCTCCTCTTTTTTTTTTCTGACCACCCAGGCTGGCTCTCTGTCTCTCTCTCACCCTCGAAGGCATTTCCGCTGCTGGCCTGCAGCAGCCAGGTGTAACAGCATTGTTTTGTGTGTCATCACTTCCCCGAATTCCAAACTCGGCTCCCTTTTCAGCCTTTAAAGAGTGTGTGTGTGTGTGTGTGTGTGTGTGTGTGTGTGTACGCGCGCGCGCGCGCGCGCGCGTTTGTAGGGGGTGGGGGTAAAGGAAGGAGTTCCTCTGAAGGAGTTTCTTAGTGGACAGAGGAGGAGTCCTGCTCCTTTCAGGTATTGATCTCCCCAGGAAGCGGTGGGGCGCGCCTTGGTTTACTTCTCAACCCTCTAGGGCCGGCTGGGTAGGGCCCCGCTTCCTGGCGGGGTCGGGATCCCGTCTGGCAGGCAAACTGCATCGAGGCTCGTGGCGGGGGGGCATCCTCTCTCCCCGCGGCATTGCGGCGACGCCGAGCCCCAGCTCAGTGACCTCGGGGCGGTGCCCACCTCCGAGGGCCGGACTGAGCTCCTAGCCTCTCTGCCCGGGGTTCCCGGGGCCTGCGGCCGCAGCTCAGGAGCCGCCAGTGCCTTCTGCCGGTCCTCCCGCGCGGGCGCCGCGGGTTGACACGATGCGGGCGACCAGCCGACGGGGCGCTGCCCAGACAGCCGCTGCCAGCAATTCACTCGGCCCTGAGGGAGGGACGAAAGGAGACGCTTCTCTCCGCAACGCCGGGAATCCCGCAACAGTCGCCGAAGCGGCTGTGCCTCCCTGGATGCCGGCGGCAGGGTCTTGCCAGGTGAGCCGCCCAGCGATCCCGACGCTCGCAGTGCGCTTCCCGGGCACGAATCGCCTGGCCCCGTGTCGCCGCCGGCTGCTTGAACCGGGTCCCGCGGTGCCCTTTCCCCTGCGCGAGGACAGATGAACTGAGCCTGCCGCAGCCATCTCTTTGTGGATATGGCCTCTGCGGCGCGCTCGCCGGGAAAGGGAAGTCTGGATGCGTTCATTCGCACATCCCTACACTACTGCACACCTCAACGGTCAGCACTACTCCCGCTCCTCCTACACCCCCATGGACTTCAGGTCTCTCTACTCCCGTCACATTCCTCCATGCACTTCTCTCCAGTCAACCCTGTACCCTCTGCAGTTCTCCTTTTCCCCACTGCCCTCACAAATACTAGTTCAGATCCTGCAGATTTTGGTGGAAAACGTGCCACTCTGATGCCTGGACTTTAAGCCTCTTTACACACTTGGGCACTCAGCTTACTCAAGACACAGAATGACCTCTTGTCCACAAGTCTGACTCCCAGAAGCCTGTGGATTCTTTGATGTCTTTGGCCCAGGGTTAGGGTGACTGGGCGGCCACCTGATGTTCCCTTGGTGAGGTTGCTGTTCAGAGTTCTTTGGGAAGCTCAGGTACAGAACATATCCCTGAGGCACTTTCACACAGGTCATTCACACAAGCTCCGTCTCTGTTTTGTAGCTGAACTCCCTGCCGCTCTGACAGGTTGCTGCGGGAGTGCGGGAGTGCGCGGGCTTGGTTCTTCTGCACACACCCACACAGCCAGGCCCCAGGCCAGCCAGTGTTATTCTGCCTGTTTGGGATTAGCAGAGACACTCACCCAAATATGTGCTTGGGAGAAAGAGTGAGAGAGAATAGGGAAGTGGAGAAGGAGGGACAGAGAGAGAGAGAGAGAGAGAGAGAGAGAGGAAAAGCCACCACACTTTCTGGAGAAGACCTCACAGATGAGAGCTGTTTCCAGTTGGTATCTTAGTGAATCCTACTGGCCAAACCCTGTGGAAGGCTGGGCTGGGAGGTAGTAGGCTAGAGTTCTGGGCTCCTCCATACTTCACTGATGTTGGGCCTCAAGTTCACTATCACCTCTTTGCCCCAAGGAGTGTGTGCCCTACCCTTCACCAGGCAGACTGCAGGGCAGTGGTAGGCATTTCTCCTGGTTGAGCCTAATTCAAGGAGAAAAGGTGGCAGGGTGGGGTGCGGGGGGTGGTTCCTGGACACTGTGGGACCTTCCCTCTCCAAAGACTTTTGGGACGCTCCCAGAGAGACAATTCTAGGGAGGCAGAAACTGCTCACCAGCTTCCTTTGGTGTTCCGTGGCTGTAACTCTCCTGGCCCCAAGCCATTTTCTTCAGCCCTGAACAGTGAGTACCCTGCCACTAGGCGCCCCCACCCCATGCTTGAGAGCGTGATGTGTTGTTTAAAGTGTCTTGTTGCCTTTCTCCACACCCAGACTGTAAGTCTTGATGGGTAGAGACTCTGTCCTCCGCTTGTCACTCAGTGGACTTTAAGCCACTGAGTCAATCCACCGGGATTGACTTAATGCATTCCAATGTCATTGCAAAATGCCTTCACTCCACAGAGAGAATTGAGAGATGCCTCTTTCCTTGTAATAAAGTTGGAATTTCCAAGAAAAGGACTGCAGGTGGGGAAGAGTGGCTGGACAACAGAAGGCCAGCTCAGGATCTGAGAGTCCCCCTGGCATTTGGGACTATATG